AATCTTCTTCAGCCATCTCTTCGGCCATTTAAAGCAATGATTTTTTTGGTAAAAATATTATCTCAAACTATAAGTGATATACCATTTCATAACCCATTCCTCTTCAGACTATAGCTCTCTTGTCGGCCATTGTGTCGCTCAGCGCCGGCTTTATAGTGGGCGGCATTGGCGGAGGTTTCGCCGCCGGAGGACTGGGACTGTCAGGACTGTCCTCTTCGTCGTCGTCCCACTTCTCGTCGGGCATCTCGTCGTCCGCTTTCTCATCGCCGGCCGTCTCAGTGACCAAAACGATTGTCTCGCAACCAATGATCACCAAAACAGTGGAAACATCGGTCATACAGCCGGCTGTGATTCAGGAGACGTCGTTCATAGAGTCGTCGCCCGTCATCAGCCATAGTCACCACTCTTTTGGCCACCAAAGTGTCGGTTTTGGCGGTCATTCGCACGGCTTTGGCGCTGGTTTTGGTGTCGGCGGCGGTGCTATCGGCGGTGGTGTAGGCTTTGGCGGCGGGTTTGCGATCGGCAAAAGGAGATGAAGATTATCTTACTTTTGAATGCGATTAAATGCTATTATTTTAGTGTCATTTTTTAACTAATTTATTTCGATGTAATTTTTTAAACTGTTTTTTAGATTGTTTTTTTTAAAATTACAAATGCTTAGGTTATGTGACAATTATATTTGAAATTATTTGAATCATTATATTTATTGCAAAAATGTATTTATTAATCAATAGTCGTGTTAAATAGCGACACAATTAATAGGCTTGACATCAACTAAAACACTCATTTCTGATCCGTTTCTCATTATTTTAAGCGTTAATTTGTCGTTAAGTGAAAGTTTGTGTAGAGTTTGCGTTAATTGACTGAATCTTTCAAATTGAATGCCATTTAAATGTGTAATCAAATCATTAATCTGTAATCCATTTCTGTTTGAATGATTAAAAATATTTCAAATATTAATCCTATGAATAAATATTGACTGAAAAAATCCGGTTTCAAACCAATAAAAACCAGAGAATATAAATAATAAAAACTAATAGTTTTATAATGAATTTAAAACTTGTGTTTTACATCTCATTATCCAATGGATTATTTTTGGTAAACTTGCAAACTCTGAACCCACTGTCCATCCGATTCAACACAACTCCCAGCGCTTTCCTATTGGCAAATGAATAGCACTTCTTTCCCACTTCTTCTTCAAACTCTTTGCCTCTAATTATGAAATCTATAAAATTATACAAAAAAGTATTTAAAAAACTAATTATCATTGAAAATACCATACCTTTAACATCATTGACATGAATAGCATGACTGCCGCTATTGAGTCCACCGCTGAAGTGAATGCCAATCAGATGTCCATCACTGTTGACAAGTGGACCGCCGGAAAAGCCTCTGGACGTAGGGGTAGTGTTGTTGATATATTTGTGGTCAAAGTTTGCCAAACAATTGTAAGCGTCAATTGACGGCATTTTCTCAACGCTTGAGATAACACCCGTCACAACACTGTCTCCACTGTCAGGATTTCCAACACATATCACCTCTTGGCCAGCGGTTGGCCACCGATTGTCCTCCATATTACAGGCCGTCAAAGCGCCGGACTTTACGTGCGGTACTCTAATCAACGCTAAGTCCAGCTGTGGTTCTGTATATACAACGCGTCCCAACACCTGATCAACCAATTCATTGCTGTCCACTATTTCGGCAAAAATGTCTGATTTACTCAACTCTTCGGGGAATTTGATTCCCACGACATCGACATCTTTGACGACATGACAGTTGGTTACAATCAGACCGTTAGTGTCCACTATTACTCCCGTTCCCGTTGTATTAGACTCTAGTTTTTTGTTATATGGATATAATTTTACCGTTGATTTCAAAATCTCTTGTTTTATTTGATTGATTGTCTTGTCGTCCAAATGAGCTCTTTTTAGAGGCAAATGTGGTGTCAATTGATTTAATCGCAGAATATTTTTATCATTTCCCATCTTATGAAACAAGTAATTGCCTATAATTATTGGAAACGATACCAGAATTGGATTAAAACTATTGGATAAGTAAACCGTTATTAGATTTATAAATAATTTAATTATAATTTTTGTAAACCTTTGCCTGTATTTTGTAAATAACACTTTCAATCCATACATAACTAACGAAAATCAAAATTAAATAAAATTCAAACAAAACAACTGTCAATAACAAGAATAGCCTAAAGAATTTCTGGATTAAATAAACCGAAGAAACGTTAATAAAAATTAAGCAATAATTAAAATCCAGTTTAAAATCTATCACAATTAATAGCCATAATTGACATCTAATAAAAGCCAATCTGTATTTCAAACTAATCTAAACTCATAAAAATGATTGAAAAAAATCACTGATCCTTTGGTATGGCTTTAGTCCTGTCGATCGCGATGTCGACGATTGGGACGCCGATTGGTATGAAGTCTTCGGGCGGTCTCATGTCTCGCCTCCTCTGAGTCCAAAAGTTGGGACAATTCTGGCAAATATAATAGAAGATAAAGGCATAGATGACCGCCAATAGGAGTCCGGCCGCCGTCAGGGCTTCGGTAAAATCGCTCCGTTTTACGTCAAATTTTTTGAATTGGAAATAGACGGCGCCTAGAATTACGCCCACGATTACCGCCGGCCCGAAGATCATCACCGCCAACACATCCCCACCGAACACATTGTACGCAAAGTAGGCGAAACCGAGCGCAGGGTTGCGGGTGACGGCCCGGCGGTCGTATATGTACTCAATGCCGGTGTAGTGCTGGTGACAGGTATAGCAAATGCGGGGGTTTTGATCGTTCTCTCGGGCTCTGCCCACCACCGATCGGCGCAAACACGTGATACAAACGTTGGCCGTTTCGCCCCTACAGGCGCACACGTAGTACTCAATGGGCGGCTCTTGCATACAAATGATGCACATCTGGTCGCTGTCCGGGTCCGGGAGTTGTGCGAAATAGCCCACAGACCAGTAGTCAGACTGAGCCACCGGTCTATTGATCCGGATGTGTGAGGGGTCGCTGTGGCGGACGCCTGCGCCACGCGATGGCCGGATCAGATTCAACGGCCGTTGTGTCTGTGGCAGAGACGATGGCACCAGTTGTGCTGACCCGGGTGTGGGTAAGGGACGCAACGGCCCCAGCGGTGGTAGATTTGCCAGCCGTCCCCGCCCAGTGTAATGCGAAACCCCTCCCGGACTGCCTCCCGGTGACCGCCGTGTTTGAGGCGATCCCGGGGGTGACCGGTCGTACCCCACTCTGTCCAAGTCGGGCATTGCCGGCAATGGGGGTACATATCCCTGACCGCCCTGACCCGCCTGATTGGGCACAAACCCTATTTGGGCATAAAAGTCGGCGATCGGGTCCCGAGCCTGTGATCTCCCGTTATTGTTGTTGTTTGTGGACATGTTTTAGGGTCTGAATCCCTTTCTCTATTGATTTTTTATTGAATTGTTTTTGAAATATATGAAAAATTTTTAAATTGTTATTTTTCAAACTTAACATAATTTATTGTTTATTTAATTTCCATTTATTAAGCCATGATACCAGAATTGGATTAAAACTATTGGATAAGTAAACCGTTATTAGATTTATAAATAATTTAATTATAATTTTTATAAACCTTTCCCTGTATTTTGTAAATAAAACTAACGAAAAGCAAAGTTAAATAAAATTCAAACAAATCAAATGTCAATAACAAGAATAGCCTAAAGAATTTCTGGATTAAATAAACCGAAGAATCGTTAATAAAAATTAAACAACAATTAAAATTCAGTTTAAAATCTATCACAATTAATAGCCATAATTGACATCTAATAAAAGCCAATCTGTATTTCAAACTAATCTAAACTCATAAAAATGATTGAAAAAAATCACTGATCCTTTGGTATGGCTTTAGTCCTGTCGATAGCGATGTCGACGATTGGGACGCCGATTGGTATGAAGTCTTCGGGTGGTCTCAAGTCGGCCCTCCTCTGAATCCAAAAGTTGGGACAATTCTGGCAAATATAATACATGACGAAGGAGTAGATGACCCCCAATAGGAGTGCGCCCGCCGTCAGGGCTTCGGAAATATCACCTCGTTTTGGGTTTGAATAGTGGACGGCGGCTATGATTCCGCCCACGAGTACCGCCGGCCCGAAGATCATCGCCGCCAACACATCCCCGCCGAACACATTGCGCACAAAGTATATGAAAGCGAGCGCTGGGTTGCGGGCGACGGCCCGATCGTGTATGTACTCAATGCCGGTGTAGTTCTGGTGACAGGTATAGCACAGGGCGTAGTTTTGATTGCCCTCTTTGGCTCTGGACACTACCGAATGGCGCAAACAAGAGATACAAACGTTGGCCGTTTCGCCCCTACAGGCGCACACGTAGTACTCAATGGGCGGCTCTGCCATACAAATGATGCAAAACTGGTCGGAGTCCGGGTCCGGGAGACGTGCAAAATACCCCACAGACCAGTAGTCAGACTGAGCCACTGGTCTATTGATCCGGATGTGGTTGGGGTCGCTGTGACGGAAGCCGGCGCCACGCGAAGGCCGGATCAGATTCAACGGTCGCTGGGTCTGTGGCAGAGATGACGGCACCGGCTGTGCTGACCCGGGTGTGGGTAAGGGACGCAACGGCCCCAGCGGTGGTAGATTCGCCAGCCGTCCCCTACCCGTATAATGAGAGACCCCTCCCGGACTGCCTCCCGGTGACCGCCGTGTTTGAGGCGATCCCGGAGGTGACCGGTCGTACCCCACTCTGTCCAAGTCGGGCATTGCCGGCAATGGGGGTGCATAGCCCTGACCGCCCTGACCCGCCTGGTTGGGCACAAACCCTATTTGGGCATAAAAGTCGGCGATCGGGTCCCGAGCCTGTGATCTCCCGTTATTGTTGTTGTTTGCGGACATGTTTTAGGGTCTGAATCCCTTTTACTATTGATTTTTTATTGAATTGTTTTTGAAATACATGATAAATTTTTAAATTGTTTTTCAAAATTATCATATTGTTTATTTAATTTATATTTATTTACATTAATTATTTTAAATATTTAAATTTTTGTTTAAAGGGCGAGAAATTTAAACGTTTAATACAAATAATCGTTAAAATCTATTTAAATCAAACATTA